CCCAGCCGCGCTCGCCTGCCGCTCTTACCGGAAAGGTCTCCGCTTGCTGCTGCCGCTTTCCCGGGCGCGGGGTGGGAGCCGCTGTGGGCCGGAGTCCGCGTCCCCGCAGCACCTTTGGGCGCTGCATCGTCTGAATCGCGCGTAAAAACGGCGGGGTGTTGGGGCTCTTTCTTCGTCAGAGGCACTTGGCTGCGAAATGGGTCCTCACTTGGCTGCGAAATGGATCCTCGCGGTAGGCTCTGAGGTGCGTTGTAGCTGGTTTTGATGCAGGTAATCGTGTAGCTCAAGGCCAGAAATCTGTAAGGAAAGGTACAGGACAGGAGACAGTGACAGAGCCTGTTGTCACAAGCGCTGTTTCACTGTCCCCCGTGCCGTGCTGGAGCGGCACAGGGCAGCCGAGGAGTCTGTTGCTTGTCCCACATGGTTTCTCCACGGACGTGTCCAGCTCATCAGGAGCGCTGCTGGTAGTGTGTGGAAAATGGGTTTCTGGTTAATGGACTTGGATTATTCAGGTTAAGTTATTTCGATATCCTTAGAAGCGATTTATTCAAAATCTCAGAGCAAAGCCAGGAGTAGAGCTGAACAACCCACAGCACCATTCCCTAGTTCACGTGGTTTCAGTCCTAAAGTTGATTCATACATTTTGTTACCTTTGTAAGTTTAGAACAATCCTCTCCTGACTTCTCTACGTGAAACATATCCTGTGGTGTACATCTCCCTCTGTCTCTCAATATTCTGTTAAGTAGATTTCTATAAACAAATATACCATCTGTTTGTTTCAAAGAATAGGCTGTGTTTTCTGCTTTACTTATGTGGAGCTTTTATGAAATACAAGCCAGTGACTTTCAAAACTTCAAAGCCTGTTTTTTTGGTGTTTTTTTTCTTATTGGAGGCAAATACAAAACAACCCGGCCGTCACTCCAATTAAAAATGAGCTGCTACTGAAGGTGATATGGATGTGTGAAGCTCAGTTTTGGGAGGGGGGCAGGCTTCAGGCTGCTCCCAGGGGAATTACTGTGGGGCTAGGCTGGTGAGGTGAGTGTGAGCTGGACTTAATAGTATTTTCATGGCTTTTCTCCAGGGACTGCTGAAGCTCTTGAAGATGAAGAGTAACAAAAGCTAATCGGAGACCTGACAGAAACGGTTTTCCCCTGGAATTTTCTCTGGAATTTCCCTAGTATTGATACATCTACAGAAGACATCCAGATTTAGATGACTGTGCAAACGTGGAGATAAATCTGTTTTGTCACATTTTTCTTGCATATTCTAAGGTGCTGAACGCATAACTTGGCTTTGAATATGCATCCTGTAAGGTATGTGTGGTGTTCAGCATGCAGAGCCATACACGAGTCACTTCACCTTCCAAGAAGGGGATAGCTGTAATTTGTGACAGCACGTACAGCAAGGATCAGAGGTATGCAGATAAATCTCTTGCACAATACTAGATGTGTATGGAGTGCTTTGAGCATGTCTTGTGATTAATTGCAAGGATGAAGACATGGAGGAAATACTTGGCTAAGTGAATTCAGGGTCCTCAAAGTTTTACCGTTCAGAGAAAATTTTGAACAGCCTGAAAAATTGGATCCTTCAGGTGTAACTGTTCTTTAAAGTGATTGTGAAAGTAACATTGTTTGGCATTAGGTTTTTGTGTGACTTCTGAACAGAGCTGGTAGCCTTGTTGAAGTAGGAAGCTTAGGGTTTTTTTACTTTATCTTCTGTCACATTCAGTAGTGCCAGAACTACACGGACTTGATTTGTGACTTAATAGCTTCCTAGTTTGCTGATAGCAGTGATAAACTTAAAGATTTTGTAACTAGTCATCATCTGCTAACTAGCCCATTGTTTTTTGTTTGGATTGAAAAGAGGAACACTGGTATTTTGTATCTCCTAAATATACATGGTGCTCAAATGAATTAATAGAATTAACTAAACTGAAATGAAAAGAACGCTCTCTTTGTCTGTGGAATTATGATTATCAGTTGCACGGATACAGGTTCTCAACGTTTATCCAGCTACTTCCTATAGTCATGCTAAAACTTTGAGCAGAGGAAGATTGACATCTCAGATAGGCTTTTTTAAATTCATCTGATTTTAACATACTGTTTTAAGTTTAACTGTAGAGTGCTTTGTCAAGATTTTTAATTTTAAGCTATTTGATTTACATAGAGAATAATTTAAGTTTTATGTAAAAAATAATTTTACATTAAAAACCAACTTATTTCTATTAAATGTTAGGAGAAAATTCTTTGGAAGTAGTTACACCCTTGCCCATCCATCTCTAGATTCACAGTTGTTCCTTAGTACTTTGACTGCAAATCAAAATATGATCCTGTGAATATTGATGCTATGAGGACAGTAAACAGAGTAAAATGATAAAATTAGGGAGACCTTAGACACAAGGGAGACATCACTAGACCTTAGGTATTAAAAAATGGTAGCATAAACTTCATAACTTCCTTATAATTATTTTTTTTAGAAATTTTTTTCTAACCTTCCTCTTGATCTCCCTTCTTTTGGAAAATGTTTTTTCAGAACAGCGATGTGTCCTTGTAATATTTCAAATAATGCCAAGCAACATTTATTTTCATTGTATTTAATAAGCTGTAGTGAGTGGCGTAGAATTTTCAGATGCTGTCTTCATGCAAAATTCATACAAATAATCATACATTGCTTTCTGTATTTATTTGGAATAGTAAGAGCCCTTTCCATGTGGAAAAAGGAAAGTGCTGTTGTCACAGAATTGCCTTTCTAATCTGAGGATCCTTGCCCACCTCTCCCCCAGCAGTAACTGTTTCAGTACCACTGCCTCTCCCCAGACACTGAAGAGGTTAAAGTAACTCTTTGTATAAAGTCCTTGTAAATATGTTTGTACTCTTTGTACATTTTTCTTGCAAGTAATTTACTAAGATGATTTGCTGATTGTGGGGCTTTTTTTTTATGTATTTGCAGGTACAGACGCAAAATGATTATTTTGCAATCAGTAGGTTATATTTCTTAATCACTATGAAAACACTGATGGATGGACCAGTGGGTTTTTATCAACTTGGTAAGTGTCTGTAGCTTTATACTGTTAGAGGAGTAGTACTGCTAATTTTTCACTAACACCCCTCCTAAGTAGCAGAAGATGCCATCATCTTCTGGAGCTCTACCTATATTCTACCTGCTCCATTTTATGCATAAACCATGATTTTCCCATAAGAAAGAAATGTTCTGAGATAGCATGCTGTATTCTGCCTCTCTGAATGTCCAGTGAACTCTTAGTTGGATGTGTTGTTTTTCATTTCTTACTCTAATTTTTTTCAGTACTCCTTAGTTTCTGGATGAGCAGGAACAACAAACAGATTTTGTCGGCTGAGCTGTAGTTCTAGTGAGAAACTGTTTTGACAGGATCATTTAATTATGTAAAAAGGGTAAGATTGTAAAGAAGATTCCCCATTCAGTTTAAAGATCGTCTTTATTTGTCCAGTCTTAATTTTCCCAGTTGTTTTGTCTAAATTTGGCATTTGGTTTGGTTTTTGGTTTTGTTTGGGTTTTTTTTTTTGTCTGTGTCTCTTACATAATAGTGAAACCTTCAAAATTTTGCAACCTCCAACTGTCTTTGCTAAGCATGTTTGTTGAATCAAAGTTCTGAGGCAGTCTGAACTCAAGATGAATAGAATTTGATTTTGACTAGGGGAGAGCATTTAAAAATCATAAATGTGGACAGAATAGGAAAACATTTATGTCAACAGGAAACACATCAGCAGTACAGCTGGCACACATGAGGTGGCTGGCATAAGAAAGAATGGCAAAAGACTGTTGCATCTCCTAATCCAAAGATTAGCGTGCTAAAGGCTGTGTGCCTGCTGGGAGAAAGGAGAATTCCTGCCTCAGATGGTTGCAAATCTAAACTTGTGCTCAGGTAAGCAGTAATAACTGTTGAAGTATTGTTTCGTTTTTCCTACCTGCTGGATGTTTTTTCTGGATAGGTGATCTGTTACTATATGGCAAGATATCAGTTGTTCTACTTTTAACTGCACTTCTCTAAGGGGATGTTTACTATTCAGTAATAATGTAGAAGAAGTAGTGCAAAAGGAAGACGTACGAGAGAGAGGAAGTCTGTGGTTCGGATGGCAAGATGAAGCTTGAGAGAGAGTTTTCTGTCTTGTGGAAGTATAAATATGTTGTGTGTGCAACTGAAGTGAGCTGCTTAATCTCTTTGGACCTTAATTTCAGAAGGGATGCTGGGAGCATAGTTTAGTATTTCTGAGACAGGTATCTGAAAAGCCAGATTTATACGAGATACTTGATTAAGTATCCATCCCAGATGATTTCAACAAACTTAGGTGCCCAAGTCTATTTCTGTGTGCTGCTAATTAAAGGGCAACTTTTAAAGCACTTCGCTGTAGCCATAAAGATTCCATGCAGATATCCCTTTAATAAAGCAACTAGGAAATTTTTCCTTTCCTCTTCCAGTACTCTCCGCAAAAGTAGACAAGGATATATAATAATTGCATTAATCCACGTGGAAATTCTCACAGTGTATCTGGGCCAGGACACTTCCCACTAATCCACCGCTATCTGTCTACTTTACCAGGAGTCTGTAGTCTGGTACTGTGTTTTAGATAGCAGGTGATTGGACCAGATGACCTCCAGAGGTCCCTTCCAACCTCAGTCATTCCACGATAGTCATGTCCTATCTATTATAAGGAGATCTCCGTAAAGATTGTTTTAATTTTTTATGGCGTATATCCAAGACTTATTTTCTCTTTTCACAATCATTCTTACTGTGGCACATCTTGTTGACACTTCAAGTAGTTCTGTTATATTATTTGTCATAGTGTGGCACCTGAGAACCTCAGTTGTGGACCAGAGTGCTACTGCATTAGTTGCTGTGCAAATGTAAAGTCAAAGACATTTCTCATGCTACGGAAATCACCATTCTAAGTGCGATGAGGAGAATAGAAGAACATATTAAGGCAGTATTCATCAGCACTGTTCAACAGAGGTAGCAGGCCAGTGGTGTTTTGGGTATTGTTTTTGGTATTGCCATATTTTGGGGTAAAGATGTCAAGACAAACAAGCGTTCATGGAGAATACTTACAGGAAAAAGTAATGAAGTAATTTTGCAAATATTTCCATGAGTTTGTCTGGAGTATGAGAAAAAACATGCATGTTTGAAATTTAACTAATAACTTATTTGACCAACTGGGCGTGGGAGGCAGCCTCTCATAAACTTCTGTCCTCATTTTAAAGGCATTTTGTGGCCTGCCCTCCTGCTGATATTTATAGCATTCAGAAAGCAGAAGGGAGCTAAAGGATCTTGAGAAAAAAATGTGATGGTTCAGAACGGTGTCTTGAAGCACTGTGCTGAAACGATGTGAATGATGCAGGACTGGGTTGGTCAAGGAAGATAATTCTTGATACATTGAGAGTCTGAATGAATGAACAGGCTCTTACAGAGGTTACACAGGAAGATGTGGGGACCTCTAGAATGTCAGGATCTGCAAGCAGGCTGAGTTCAAGAGATTACTCAGAAATAGGCCTGACCGACAGGCTGAATGTGGCCTTTAGCCATGCTGTGTGAGAGAAGTTGAATCATCTGTTGTTTTTTTCTTTTGTTTTGCAGGCAGAGGATAGAATGGTATAGACTTAAATACCCACAGGGAAATGTTACAGAAGTGGGACACAAAATAGAGAGGCAGTTACAATAGAGCCTGAAATAGGCAGTTACAGGAGTTAGCTGGCTGAAGATAGCGAACAATTGTTCTACCAGTGACTAGGCCTAACACGAATGACACGACCAGCAGGAAGATGAACCAATAGGTGGAATGTATTGAATACAAAAAGGATGTTCCATGAATGATCACTAGGGGTACAAACAAGTCAATGAGCTCACATACAACTGACATTACCCCCAACAATCCCAAAAAAAGACATAACCCAGCTGACAATAGGTGGTACAAGCAAAGAACCAAGGTTTCCCATAGATGGAATGGGAAACAGCCAGATCAGCAAGTTGCACAAATAAGACAAAGGTGGCCACATGGCAGCTCTCACCCATTTAGCCTGCATTCACAAAGGTCCAGGCTGACCAGGGCCCAGCTCCGGGGAGAGCCAAGAGGTCCTTCTTTAAGCAGGAAGCTCTGTGGAGTGCACTCCACAGCCAGACACTCCTGACTCCCTGCAAGTGGTCCCAGCTTTTATCCCCAAGCAGACACCTGACCTTTGTCAACTCAGTGCGGGACCCCTGGGGCTCATTTCCCTTATGGCTCTCCCTGCAGGGCCGGCCACACCCTGGGGGGAAGCTATAAGGCAAACTCACCACCTCTTTATGAAGGGCTGTGGGAATCACCCATATGTCAACCTTAATTTGGGGCCTGGGGTTCAAACCCCAGCATTTCAACAATATACCAAAGTTGTTTAAACTACAGCCTTGAGGACTCTCAACATTTAGCAAAGAAAGAATCTGTGAAGATAATTCAATAATATTCTTTGAGCAGTCATGGTATCTTTTCCCAAACCAATTTTAAGATTTTTGGCATGATTTTAATAGACAGAGTGAGGTACCTGAAGTATAGTCAGAATCCTCTAAGACAGTAGCTGATAAGAACATTTATTTACACTGAGTCTTGAACCTCACCTGGCAGGGATCAGCATAAGCCTGAACCACAGTGTAGTTATCAAAGAACCAGCTCCTAGGAGCCTTGAATTAACAACAGAGGTTGGAAGGGGACATCTGATGCTTGGGGGAAGAATGGAAGGGGAAAGGACAGTAGTAGGAAGAAGGTGTCAAGGAAAAAAATGGTTCCACAGAGGGAATACTGAGTACTGTTTCTAATTGTGGCAAATTTAGACTGCCAACAGTAAGGTAATAAACAGATATTGTGGACATACAAATGCATTAATACAAAGTTTCATTTTCCAGTGTACATGAGCATTCTGTCTACAGCTTGTTGCAGTTTGCCTGGTAAGAATCATTACTGTATTTCAAATGCTTTTACTAACACACTTCAAAAAATTTGCATATTCTCATCAAGCATAATTTTAAAACGTTATGCTTTTTGAGGAAATAACTTAATAAAAATATAATACAGGAGGACAGTCCTTCCTTTGCTTCTATTGTTTCTGTTTGCTTCATTTGTTTCTATTGTGCTGTACTCTGTTCTATGGTTGCTTTATTTTGGGGCAAATATCAGGCATTCTAGTTGGGTTTATTTGTTACAATTGTTGCAATCTTACATTTGTTTGCCATTGATATTGTCGGGTTGTTTGGTTTTGTGCTTTTTTTCCCTTTGTAGAAAGATTTCTGGGAGGTCCACCTAGCAATCTACAAATGAAGTCTAACAATTTTCAGCACATTTTGTCCTGGCAGGCAAAAACTGATTCAACTGTGCAAACATACTATCGTGTGGTGTATACTGATGGCAGGCAAGTTTTATTTTATAAGACACAAATCTTACTTTTAATGTTTATTGACTCAAAATGTGAAGTCTGGGGTTTTCTTGTTGGTCTGTTTTTCTACTCAGAAATGATTTTCCCCTGTCCCAATGCTTTCTTGTATCAGAGAACCCAGATAGATTTTCTTTTATCTTCTTTTATCTAATTTTCATTTACAGTAACTGGAAGACTGCTAAACAATGTTCAAATATTACACAACTCTCCTGTGATCTGACAGATGATTTTAATCATGTTCACACTGAGTACGCTGCACGGGTTCAGAGCTTCATAGGAACTGAAGTATTTAATTCTTCTGTACTTCGTTTTATGCCATATTATGACAGTAAGTTCTCTGTCTGTATTTGCTCATTTTAGTAGTTTTTATTCATAGATGATGTATAAATTATATTCTGCTAGCTTTACAGTAAAGACACTCCAGACAAACCTAGTCATTAGCTTATTCATTTATCTAAGAGAATACAAACTTGTATATAATCTTATCACATATCAATTACAAAACAGATAACTTTCTAAAATTAGTGGCTACCGTAGTTCTGATAAACGGATGAGGCTCAGGTTTTGAAATAATATAGGTATATAAATAGAGAGGAAGTAGCGTTCAGTCAGGCATTGATGAACACAAATAAAAATCTCCTAAAATATATAATTTAAACAAACAAACAAACAAAAAAAAATCCACATTGTTTTTATATCTTCAGGTAGTCAGTGTTCAGAGTTAAAGAAATACCACATCTGTACTAGTTATAGGGGAAGAGATTTACTTGCGTGTTCATCAACATGCTTTTTCCCTTTTCTTGTTGAAAGAAGATATTATCTGTGACATCTTCTGATGCCAGAGGTGGCTTCACCCTTAGTTGTGTTCGGTATTCAGTTTTGAAGTAACTGAGATGGAGATTAAGGAACAATCGGAGAACTACAGACGAGAAATAAGGCATGTTACCTCTGAATTCAGCACAGATGTAGCCATTGCTGTGTCCACTCACAGTCTCAGAAATTATGACAATTTGGAGGAGGTGGGGAGAATAGCCACAAAGATACCGGAAGGATTTGAGAACATCCCTCTGAGGTGGAGGCTTTCAGTCTTTCAGCAGTTAGTTTAATGAAGAGAAGGACCAGAAGAGGCACTGACCACTCGTTAATATAGTGTCAGGTTTCTTCAGTCTTGCAAACAGAGCATAGCAGCATTCCCTGACTGGAAGCTCAAGCTAGATAAATTTTAGCTAGGAGTAAGAGACATACTTGTAATTGATTGGTGGAACAAATTGTCAGGTGCTCTGACTGCTCGTCCATCACTGGCGACTTCGAAATTGAATGTTTTGCTGGTAGTTCTCTAGTTCAAACCATAAGCAGTTGGGTGGGCACCGGACTTAGAATAACCCTGTAGTCTTTAATTATTTTACAGTGCCTGAATAGGAAGGAATCAATATTCTGAGGTATTTTCACACTGAGTGTAGATACCTACCTTCAGATACCTGCGGTGAAATCTCACTCGTGTTGACAGATGGATTTGAGCAAAAACAGAAAGGCTTCATAATAAAGAGCGAGGAAAACAACCACAATTGACTGTAACCAAATTTAAGCTAATGTTTATTTGTAACTTAAAACCAAAGATGAGAAACAAATAAGTGTGCAACCATTTGACTAGGACATGCTTTCCTGTTGTGAGCTTTCATCTACTCTCAATTTGTTCTGGGTATTAAACTTTGTTGTTTTCCTTCTTCTATTTCAGGAACAGAAGTAGTTAGTAAATGTACATTTCTTTTTTTTGAATTTTGCAGAGGTGGACAAACCAGTCTCCACCTTGATCAAAATGTACATGCTTCTGGAAAAGAGTAAAATGCAAACCGTAAATTTTCATGTTTTCTTCCCCTACAATGTACCACACAGAAGTGGAGGATTATGGATATAGATTGTTCTCATACCATTTTCCAACATTCCACTTCTTTCCTGTGTTGGAGGAAATAAGATCTTAGGCATGATTCACTGTGGAAGTTCCTCTCATCTTCATGGATATGTAGTTTTGGAGAGAGGAGACAGTGTGCATGGCTCTTCAAATATACACATGTTCTGAGGACCTGAACTTGAGAGATTACCTGGATATCAATCAAAGTCTCACCAAAGCGTTACTAAGTTTCAGTAGGTCCTCTGTCCTGTCAGTACTTTTCAGTCTTTGGAACTCAGTCAAGTCAGCTTGTCAAGTTTAGACATGGTGGTCTTCCTTGCAACCGCTGTGAATATGTGCAGGGCTACACAGCACTGAATTTCTACAAAGATTGCTTTCAGAGAGTCACTAAAAGATAATGAAGATGAGCAAGAAAGTAATCAGCTTTTCCTATACATTAACCTCAGCTTTCCTCTCAAACAGATAAACAACTCACATCTTTGTGGGGCTGAAGCAAAGCCTCTGTCACCTTTCTGCTTCTTCCCTCACTCCAGTGCTTTCTGTTTTTAAAATCTAGTCATGAGGGAAAAGGTTGTTTAACTGTGGAACTTAAATATTGCAAGGCCTTATGGATTTACAGCAGTGACATGCTCTGGAGTCTGATTAGTCAGCTATTTATCTGTCACCAAAATAGAATTGGTACTGAATACATACTGTATATTTCTTCCATCTTTGTTTTTTTTTTCTGTTATTCTGTTTTTTCCAATAGCATACCTGGGACCACCAGAAGTTAATATCAGTTCCTGTCTAAACTGCATAAATGTCACAGTAAAGCTGCCACCCTCTCACTTCAGAGAAAATGGAAAGCTGCTATCTTTAATTCATATATATGAGGTGCTTGATTATGTTATAACAGTGAAAACACATGATGGAGAGCATAAGGTAAGGAACTTTGTTTTGTTCGTGTTTTAGGGGAGAAATACGGAGGAGAAATACGGAAAGCATAAAATGGCTCTGATGGCTAGCAGATTCACAGAGACATATAGGTGAATAGAAGATACTTAGAAGGAAAGCAAGAGAATTGCCAGCATAATCTTAGCTTCCTTTTATTGCAGACTAGCAGGTGTAGAAGATGAATACTGGTTGTCCTGTATCCTTCCTTGAAGTAAAGCACATGGTGCTGGCACAAGTGATTATTCTCTGGGAAGACAAGGGAAGGACAGTTGAGCAGAAACTACCAGCAGCTGTATGCACAGCTGATAGGACAATATGTTCAGAAAGCAGTTCAGTAGTTTTTTCTCAAACTGGAAAAATGTATACACTTTTTAAAACAACCTATTCTGGGTCTGGTACTTTTTTTTTTTGGTTAGTGTGGTGAAATAAAGAGGTAGATAGACATGATTAGAACTTGAAGTGATCCTCGTGAAATGGAGAAATAGTCTTAAAATAATAGATAATTCAATAAGGACCAATGTGAGGCATAACACTTAAGAATAGTCTGTGTAATAAGTAGAGTGGTAACAGCTACACAAGAAGCAGTTTTGCCAGAAAGGATGAGGGCATTCTATAAAATTACAAGTTAAACGTGACTCGCATGTTGCTGAGAGATAAATAATATTTTTACGTATTCAGTACTTGTAAAGCCCACCTACCCCACACCAGTCTAGGGTTCAGAAAAGACATGGATCAGTTGTGCAGGATCCAGACAGGAACAGTGAGGACTGTGGGGGATCCTAACACATGACCTGTGAGGAAATGCTGGAATAATAGGGGACCACGTAGTGGAAGCAAACAAAGCACAGTGGGAGGCCAGAGTCTCTGAGTATGTAAACATTTACTACAGAAAAGGAGGAAATAAACCACTCATTGTGATATTGACCAAAGCCATGAAGTGACATTGGCATTTGTGCAGAGGTAGGTTAAACGCCAAGAGAAACATTGATGCCTGGTCTGGTGAAGCACTGGACTAATTTGCCTAACTAAAGCATGGAGTGCCTGTACTGGAAGTTCTGAACAGCAGGTCAGACAGGCACCCATTGCAAATTTAATCTGTCTGACTCATTCTGCCATGTCACAGAAGAAGGACTATAACTTGCCTGCCATGGATGTTTTCCCCATGATTTCTGAATCAGAATATTACTTGCAGTTTCAAATCCTCCGTAGTCTGTTTGAGGCTACTTGAAGGGGACATATAGTGACTGACAGCTGGAGACAGAAGGCAGTTGATCTTTGATAATATGATATTTCAGAAACAGGCTCTTGGCATCAGGTAGAAGAAACAGAGATGAAGCAGTTGTCTGGGTAAGCCCGTGAGTTAGTGTGCCAGTTTCTGCAGTTTCACATGCTACTGCATTTCTCTGAAATAGCTGTAATTTTTTTATCAGGGGCTGGGGATGTCTTTTTAGGTAGATTGCTAACTTCAAAACATTGTCTTTCATGGCAGAGACCACTTGAGAAAACCACTGAAGAAATTTTTAGCACTGTCATTGAAGAATTGTATCCAAATCAAAATTACTGTGTGTCTGTTAGTGTCACTGCATCCCTAAACAAACATTCCAACTCATCAGCCTGGAAATGTATAGCCGTAGACTCTGTAGCTCAACAAGGTAACTGTGCTGTGGTGCAGGAATGGGTTGTCTGACCTGATTGTGTGCAAGTGTTTTCTTTTTAGGTAGGAAAATTTACAAGCCAATCCTAAATAAGAAAGTAGCCACATTGATTCTGATTGATAAACATTGTGGGGATTTATAAGTGAAATATAAATATTTGGGGCTACAAATCTGTTGTTAATCCTATGAGCCATACAAGTCTCCACTTAATATAAATATAGTTTAACTAATGCATAAATAGTTACCAAAGATGGTGTAACTTATTTTTTAATTCCTAAATTTGAGATTTGGTCCTGTTTTGACTGTGGACTAGATAATCTCCAGAGGTCCTTTCTAACCAAAATTACTCTGTGATACTAAACAGCTGTTCTGAATGTGAAATATGAAATGTAGTCACTGGAAACTTCATTCAAGTATGTTTATTTGTTGCTTTTTTTTTCACCTGCAGATTATCAAACAGTTGCAATTGCAGGTGCTGTGTGCTTTTCACTCATATTAGCTAGTGCCCTGAAGTGTATGCATGCAGGAGGATTTATTCTTCTAGATAAATCACTTCCACAGACTTTGGTATGTAAAAATTTGGTACATAAAAATATTTAACCCTCCTGTTTAGGAGGAGGAAGTTTACAATCTGAACTTCCTAATCTCATGCATTCAGTACAGTGTTTTAATGTGAAGTGTTACTTATGTCAGAGAGAGTTTGTAGGCTGCTAGATCTTGTCTGTTCTGTGGAACAAGTATTCAGACTTTTTCAAAACCATTTCTTGCTACTTCTGTGACAAATGACTAACAGAGAGAGAGACACGTGATCATCCCATGCTGCTCAGTGCTTGTCAGGCTGCGCCTGGAGTGTTGTGTCCAGTTCTGGTCCCTGCAGCGCAAGAAAGATGCGGATAGATTGGAAGGGGTCCAGAGAAAGGCCACGAAGATGAGCAAAGGGCTGGGGAACCTGCCCTGTGAGGAAGGACTTCCTTCCTGGAGAAGAGAAGGCTCAAGAGGAAGCACATTACAGTAGTCCAGTACTTAAAGAGTGGCTATAAACAGGGCAGAGGCTCTCAGGACAAGGGGCAGTGAGTAGAAGTTGCACCACGAGATGTTTCATTGTGAAAGACAGTAAAATAAGAAATTTTTTTTTTACAGCGAGAACTATCAATCACTGAAACAACCTCTTCAGGGATGTGGTAGGGTCCCCACCACTGGAGGTTTTCAACATATAATTGGATGGGGTGCTAGATAATCTCATCTAGGCTCCCTCTCTCACGAAAGTTTGGACCAGATGGGCTTTCAAGGTCCCGTCAATCCCGGGCTGTTCTGTGATTGTATGAAGCTAGAGTAGGTGAGCAGTAGTGAAGGGGACACCCCCTGGCCAAAGTGACTTAACCCTGTGGTACACAGAAGCAAGCCAGCAGAGCACTTGGCATAGAGCAATTGACCCCTTGCCCTTTGAAAATTACCTTGTATATAAATCCTTCCAGACAAATTCCTTCTGTTACATTCAAATTGTTCCACTGTTTTAAATAAAATAATCTTTCATTGACTTTTTCTGAGGTCACATGATGTATTTTAGTGCTTGAGGAAGCCAGTTTCTGATTTTAATAGAACAGACTCATCAGCCACTAAGTTGCAATCAAAAATAACAGGATTTCTTGGACTTGTTTCTATCCATCTTTGCTTGCTTTCTTTTGTTTATAATCTTTGACTTCTTTTACATTTATTTCTATGGAGTTTTTCAGCATAAACATTTTACGTTTCCTACAAACATGTCAAGGGCAGATGGGTGTCAACTTTTTCTAAGACTTTTTTTCCTCACATTTCTCTCCTTTGCTGTGCCATTACCTCCATATCCCTAAGACTGCTGAACATGAATTTGTCAAGTAGTGTCTAAGATTAATTTTTTTTTTATTGTCAACATATTCCCCAGTGCCTTGAATATTCAATAATCCTCAGATGCGTGGAGTAAAACTGAGAAAATGGGACTTGGGATGTTATATAGTGCATTGCTTGAACGCATAAATTTCTAAAGGACATTAAAATTGCCCATCCATGTAAGACTTCTTTTGCATGGTAACTGCAAGAGCTAATAGAGAGTTGCAAGACTCACCTCAGGCTTAAGGTGTATTTCTAAAATGAGCTTTTAGTCTAAGAGAGAGATATCATAAATGAGAATTAAAACGTTTCATACCTGACACTTTTTAGCACTAGTGTCATTTGAGACTGTCCAATGTTGTGTACCTCGATTTGTAGCGAAGGCCATCATATTTAGAAAAATGGAGAAGAGGGAACAATCCTAGATGCTTAAAATTCTGCTGGAAAAGCCAAAGATGTGGCACAGCAGGAACCATCTATTTGACAACCTCAGATGACTGAGGTCTGTTTTGATATTTTTCTGTGCATGTGTGCAAATTTGGCTGATTTTTCTTTCTTTTTTTTTTTCTTTTTAATTCACTTTGCTGTTTTTAGGTATTCATCAGGACACTAGCCTATTCACCTTGGTCTTCTGAACTTGAAAATATAGCCACTGTAGAGACCATTTACAAAGAGGTCAAAAAAAAGGCAAAGGAATCCAGCAGCAGTGCCAGTAACGAAGATGACAGCGATGACAGTGACAGCGATGCCGTAAGCAATCATGACTACACCAGGCGTGATATCATAAGCAGAGTACCTCGTTCCTCTGGCACGCCCGATGCGCTTGTGCAGTACTCCACCAACAGTGCATGTGATGACAGCAGCAGCCAGGCAAGTGAAAAGCCAGACTCCAACCCTGAAGATTTTGAAGAGCATGAGACAGACATTGAAGAAGACAAGGACAGGAGTAGTGAGTTACTTAGTCCTTTCTCTGAGGTAAATTGTAACTATTCTTCTAGGCAAAGTAACAGTGCTTGCTTTACCATTAACTTAAAAACTGTGCTGCTGGGAACCTCTGAAGAGAACGTGGATAGTTCTGCAGCTCTTCTTTCTTCCCAAGAAGATGCAGTTGACTGGGAATGTACTCATGCTTTTGAAGCAAAGCTCCCAGATGACACGAAGAATATGCAGAAACCACACTGTCATAACGGCTCTCATGAATGGCAAAATGTCTCTCACTCATCTGATGAAAGTGATTCATCAGATTCAGAGACGGACCAAAAAACTGAATACATAAGAAGGTGAATAAGTGAAAACCACCATTATCTCATAACAGACTAATCAATGTTGTCCAACTTTTATTTCTGGACTCAACATAAAGATCTTGCCTTTTCCTTTTTTTAACATTCTGTGAGTATATGCCTGAACGCTGAAAATACACAACACACATTTTTAACAAATATTTCTCTGATCTCTCCAGGATGCTGCAGGTGTGGTTCAGGTTGGATTATCCACAGAGAAACAAAAATTGAGTGGCTGGTCCCTTAACCAGACCACTTTTTAAATTTTCTTTTTTTATTCTTTAGCTGTGTTGTTGGGTTACCTGTTTTCCTGTATGGATCGTTGTATTGAAGTCAGTGAGCTGTTTTCTACGTTTGTGCAGAGAAAGCTGCTCAAGTGAGATAATGCAGACAGAGATAAGAATGCTCAGCTTACAGAAGAGTTCTCCGTTACTGTGAATCAAGGCATTAGATACACCTTTTAATATTTTTTATATATATAATTTTATGCAATTATTGAATACTACACTTTGAAAAAATCTTTTTATTACATTTACAAGTTAATGCAGTTCACAGTTATACTTTTCACATCTGTGCTTCATAAAAAGAAAATTTTTCATATCCCTGTCTGAATTTTTACTGTGGTTCCTACATGCCTTTAAAAAGCTACATGAGTTAGCCTGATAAGAATTTACTCTTTATGGGAAAGCTATTGGGTATCATGTAACAGAAAAAAAGAAATGTACTCACCTGTGTTGCTACTTTTCTGCCCACAAGCAGTTTCTGGCAGCTATGGGTGGCAGTCATTCTTTTGTTCCGGAGAGTATCTTCTCAGGTGCTGGAGTACATTCTGCCGCTGCACTACTGTTAAGAACTCCGTAGATCTAAGTACCCAACAAGCTAATTATTTGCAGATTTATGCATCCATAGAATTACTGGGTGAAGCTTCCACCCCGGCTGACCCTGTAACACTGCCATTTGTACAATGTCCTGAGTGTGTACCTCCCCACAGCAGCAGCAGCCCCGGGCATTGCTCACAGGTAAACAAAGGCAGGGGGACTGTGCCCATCCCAGGAGGCGTAAACCTGCCTTGTAGCCTCATATAGTAACAGGAGGTAGCAAATGGGCCAGAAACAAATGTACTGAACCCCCACAAAAAAAGGGTATTTTCAGTTGGCAACAGTAATGGCTTGAGAAAGAACCCTTTATACTCTCCGTGAATAATAAACCTGCTTCCCCAAAGTTTTTTGCTGGGTTGGCCTGGGAACGCTGACTGATATTCTGGTAGAAGTAGTGGCACTGGCAGCTTTGGTGCAGGCAAGGTTCCAGACCTCTCCTTGAGTAACATTCATATTGCCTGCTGCGGGAGTTTCACTGCAGATCAGGTGTGACACTGTGCATCATCTGCCCTCTGTTCAGGCATGATTTATTTATCCACTTTATGCTGCCCTCCACTCTCCCGTCTTCCCAGCTGCCAGGCCCCATGCTGAAGACGCTCTTTAGAGGTTACGAGCATCCAAGCAGCCAGGGATCGGAAACACGCCTTAAAGCACAGCACCGACGCACAGCTTCCCAAGCCTG